GCTGGAGAAGGATATCATGTTTGGTAAAGTGGAGGGTCAGAAAAAAAGAGGAAGACCCCTAGTGAGAAGGATTGGCCAAGTGGCAGCATCGATGGACTCAAGCTTGGCAACAGTAGTGTGGTTGGCCCAGGATCGGGCAGTGTTTCATTCTGCTGTGTATAAGATTGCTATGGGTTGGTACCAACTCGATGGCACCTAACAACAACATGAGTCAGAATGGACTCTATAGCACTTCAAAACAGCAACCTAAAAACACCAGCAATAACAGAAACAACAGCATGTGATTGTAGCATGTTTAAAGAAAACCACACAATTTGAAGCATCATTGTAATTGGGTAGTAATGTCTGTTCTGACTGGAACACATTAGACAGGAAGTAAGTAGCGTGCTATCCCTATAGGCTTAGTAAGCTGGGCTTGTTTTTGTTGTTGTTGTGAAGTGCCATTGAGATGGTTCCAACCCATAGCAACCCTATATAGGGTTTCCTAGGAGCAGCTGGTGAGCTTGCACTACCGACCTTGCAGTTCAAGCGGCTTTGCAGTCCAACCCACAGCACCACACCAAGACTCCAAGCTGGGCTTTGGAAATTTTTTATGTTGTTACAGCTCACTGCAGAGCTATTTTTATAAAAAATAGAAAGTTTCTGCTGAAACACGGCACAAAAATTGTATAGACGGTTATTGCAGTGCCATTTGGTGTGGTCTGCAACCCCTGAACATCCTATTGACCATCCTGATTGCATTGGAACACAGTTCCATTTAATTCACCCAAGTTTGACTATGTAAATTCTATACTATAAACCGAATAGTAATTTTCAGTTCTGTTTGAGTTGGGCTGGGGGAGTGTGTTTCATTGAACTGGGGATTTATCTTTTTATTTCACACTAATTAGATCCATATAATATGTAAAATCTAAAAAACGCAGCATTTTTTGACTACTAGAGCAGCTCGCAGAACTTTCACTCTTACGAATGTGCATCCCTGTCTTGCCAGAAGCAAGCATAGTTTGAGAATACAGAACTTTTCAAACGCAAATACAGCCACTCAGCACTCAGCCCTAGCTTTCTAACCCCTGGAAAGACACGTAGTTATCACAACTCTGTAGTCAAACTTGTAGAAGTTAAAATGGGCTTTTATAAACACCATGGTCAGGAAGGATGAATCCTGTAGGGTTAATGACTAGAAGCAATCCTTGAGTGGCACAAACAATTAATCGCTTGTTTAACCAAACAGGTAACCAAAAAGTTGGCAGTTTGAATGAGGACTTTGAGCTGGTTCAAAATAATTCAGTCATGGCTGATGGAATAGACAGACACATTGCATGCAGCCAGATCTTTTGGGTGTAGGATTTTGACCCAAATAGGAAACAGGCTGTGGTACCCTGCTCAAACATGGTGGCCACCCATGCCACTTTGAATATGTATCAGCTGCCATCTTTGAGTGATGCACTGCTATCTGTTTCTTACTTGGGTCGGAATCCCATTGAGAAAGCATGAGAAAACTGGTTGCTATGCAACATGTATGCTCCACTGACAGTGACTCAACTATTTTGAACCTTTCAAAGCCCTGGTCTGTACACACTCAAAGGTATCTTGGAAGAAAAGCTTGGCAGTCTGCATCGAAACCCTGTGGGTTGTAGTTCTACTCTGTACACATCGGGTCACCTAATTTGGAACCAACTCAATATACATTAAGACTTGGAGCTTTAATAACTGGATGGGGGCAGTGGTGGCTCAATGGTGGAATTCTTACTTCCATGCAGGGTCCTCAGCCAGTGTACTTCATGTGCAGCCTCCACCCTGTCTGTCAGTGGAGGCTGCAGGTTGCTATGATACTGAGCAGCTTTCAGCAGAGCTTCTAGACCACAACAGACTAGGAAGAAAATCCTGGTGATCTACTTCTGAAAGTCAATCATTTGAAAACCCTGTCCACAACTCATCATGGGGATGGCACAGGATCAGGCAGGATTTTGTTTCACTGTGCATGGGGCTGACTTGATAGCAACTAAAAACAACAACAAATGACTGGATAGTATGAGTCTGCTTATTGCCAAGAATGTGAGCGTACGTGTCAAGGACTGAAACTTTGGCTCAGGGTAAGCAGCAAAGAAAGCGTCCCTTACAGCAGGCCGGCCATTCACCTGGCAACTTCTAGCACTAGAGTGTCTCTGAGGCCCAAGTCTAGTTCTTCCTTCTCAGCAAGTGAGGGAACTACCAAGGTACAGCCATACTCAACCACAACACCCTTGGGAAAGAACTAGTCTGAGGGTGGTGCTAGGGCAGGTTGGTAGGGAAGGGATTGCAGCAGGTGAGGAAGGAAATCATTCTGTCCTGGAATAAGATTCTGTGTTTGATGTTTTGAAGAACAGCACCTCCTCCTGTCATTTAAGTAACACTTTATAGAGTGCTTCCAGATGTATGATTTTATTTGATCTCTAAGCAACTCTGAAGTAGATGGAAAAGATATTATTATCCCCCCTTTGTAGATAAAGAGCACAGAAAAATAGAGCCATTCAGTTATGGATCATGTGCTACTTGGATAGCTTGTGATTTTAAATCATGCTTTTCTAAAATAAGCTTATCACTGTTATTTGAAAGCTCTTACCATTTTCTCGGTTCCACTGAATTTGTTGCAAGTCGTTCCTTCTGTAGTTTACTTTTATCGATTGTCATTTGTAGATTTGTTCAACTGGGCCAAAGTCAACATAAACAATACAAGAGCAGCCAGCAGCACTGTTGCGCGTCCTCAGATGGAATTATAAAACTGTAAGTACTGAGTCAGAACTTAAAAAAAAAGAATCTTTGTGTCAATTAAGAAAAATATCAAATGTTGCCACCACATTAGTGTAAGCACTAGAGATCTCTTCATGGTACATTGCCATTGTTGTGAAGTGCTTGTGAGTCAGTTCTGACTTATAGCAACCCGATACAGGGTTTCTGAGGAGTGACTGGTGAGTTTGAACCACCAACCTTGTGGTTCAGACTGACCTTATGGTCCAGTGTGTTATCCTACCGTGCCACACTAGGACTCTTCCTGCACAGTTGTTGGTCGACAGTTAAGAAGTTGTTACAATAGTCCAGGCAAGGAACAATGCCTTAGAGTAGTGACTATCAACACTGTGAACGTTAAAAACGGGGTAGATTTGAGACACATTTACAAAGTAAAATAGACAGAATTGGTTAAAATATTGTAGTACAACTTATAACAAGAGAACTCTCATGAAATGAATATGGCATACAAAGTAAAATAAAAAACAGTTTCCCTTATTTTCTTCAGCATTGTGTCTACTCTAATCTGTAACTGGATTTCCAGTGATTACTTTCATAATCTTTTTTTTTTAATGTTTAATTTTTGATTTGCTGAACCCTAGGCCAGGTGAAAATCACGTGGATCTAGAATTTAAAAAAACACCCTTTTCTACTTAATTAGTAAAGAATCTAACATGAGTGTGTTTTTACATCACGTCTTCAGCAGGATAACAAAGAGCTTGGTAGGCTCTGCTTTATGTTGCTATGGAAACTGCCCAAGAGTTTTTTTGTGTGTGAATGCTTTAAATTGGAACTCTGCAACCAGGTTCTTAAAATGTCAACTATTCATTTTTAGATTACTAAAGCTATGCCACAACCAAGAGAAATCCGTTTTATATGAGATTCTTGAAATTCTCATCTTGTTATGTTTTAGGTTCTAATATATTTAACAATGGTAATAAGTTTATTTTAAGCTCTTATACATATGCAAGGAGCTCTGGTGGCATACTGGGCTAAGTGTTGGGCTGCTAACTACTAGGTCACCAGTTCGAATCCACCAGGTGCTCCATGGAAGAAAGATGCTGCTGACTGCTCCTGTAAAGATCGTTGTTGTTGTTGTTAAGTACCGTGGAGTCGGTTCCAACTCATAGTGACCCTGCACAGGGCTTCCGAGGCTGTAAATCTGTACAGGAGCAGCAAGCCTCATCTTTCTCCCACGGAACCACTGGTAGTTTCGAACTGCTGACCTTGAGGTTAGCAGCCCGACTTGTAACCACTACACTACCACAGCCTCGGAAGCCCTATGGAGTGGTTCTACCCTGTCGATAGGGTTGCAGTGAGTTGAAATTGGCTTGATGGCCGTGGGTTTGGCTTCGGGTTTTTTAGGCATACATATCAGTGCTCATCTCGGATAGTTTATAGTCTACCCAATTTTTCTTAGAATTTTGAGGCAAAATCAGTTTTCTTTTTCTAAATATGAGGTATATAAAATAACAAATGTAAAATTAAAAAAAGACAATGGTTAAACTGGCAAGGAGCCAATAGAGCAAAGACTCCCTGAAGGGGGTTACAGAAACCTGGGTGGGAGTGCTAGATACTTTTACTCAAGGTCTTGCAGGACACTTCATAGACGTGATACACGCAGCCCTGTGTTCAGTGTGAACAAGGCCCTCCCTTTGACTCATACTACTTCCTGAGTGTAAGGATGTCGACCGGGGAGGAATGACATCAGCCAGTCTGTGATGGCACTTGTCTGTGTACTTTGTTGTTATTGTTGTTGTTAGGTGCTGCTGAGTCGATTTAGACTCATAGGGACTCTGTATGACAGAATAGAAATGCCCTGTGGTGTTTTCTAGACTAGTGTTTTTGGTAGCAAATCACCAAGTCTTTCTCCCATGAAGCGTCTGGGTGGGTTCAAACCATCCACCTACTGGGTAGCAGCCAAGCACTTAACCACTGTACCACCAGGACTCCTTCTATGTACCTTAAGCAGTACGAGGAGATTTCAAAAAAAACAAAAAAACGTGTGGGAAAAGTAGAATTAAAAGATAATAGAATTTTTCCATGAACTTTTTAAAGTCCCATCCTATTAACTCAATTCTCACAGTAGCCCTAGGCCTTGATATTCTGTAATATGGAGGAGCAACTGAAGCACAGAGAAGTTAAGTAATTTGCTCAAGTCACACAGCTGGCAAGTGGAGAAGGCAGGATTCAAACCAAGATAGATCGGCTCCAGGGTCCATGCTCTCTATCACTAGACTGTTAATCCCCCACATTACCAGATGCTTCTCTAGCCACTATGGTAAAAAAAACAAAACTGGGTTCATTAACAGCCCTCACTTTGGCCCTCTGACATGAACTGGATTTATAGACACCTCTGTATTCAGGCTTAATGTTGCTGCTCTGTTGATCTTGAATTTTTTCCTTCTATTAATATTTAAAGAGAGTATGCTGTTGTTAAGGAGCACTGGTAGCAGAGTGGGTTAGAATAGGGCTGCTAACCACAAGGTCACTAGTTCAAATCTACGAACTGCTCTGTAGGAAAAGATGAGGCTTTCTATTCCAGTAAAGAGTTCAGCCTCGGAAACCCTATACAGGGACACTATGAGTTGGCACCAACTCCATGGCACATAACCACTACCATGTTGTTGTTAGGTACTATTCAGTTGGTTCTGACTCATAACAACCCTGTTTATAACAGAATGAAACATTGCTTGGTCCAAGGAGAGTATACCTGAATGCTTTCCCCAGTGTTCAACCCATTGACGCTTTTGTTGTTGTTGTTGTTAGGTGCCATTGAGTTGGTACCGTCCCATAGCGACCCTATGCACAACAGAATGAAACACTGCCCGATCCTGGGCCAACCTCACTACTGTTGCCACGTTTGAGTCCATTGATGCTGTCACTTTGCCAATCCATCTCGCTGGGGGGGGTCTTCATCTTTTTCTCTGATCCTCCGCCTTACCAAATATGATATCTTTCTTTAGCCTCCTGGGCAAGCATCCTATGCCCGGCTGGTTTGCTGATATGGTATAGAGACTGCTTAGCCATCATCAGAACAGTGCTCTTGATGTAGGAGAAACACTGCACTGAGAATCACAGGTCTGCAGTTTAAGCCCACTGCTTCTTCTTAGAAATCCTATACAGAGTTACTCTGAGTTGGAACTGACTCAAAGGCACCTAACAACCACCACAACAGCAACTAGGTTGTAATCTAGAGAGCAGCCCACTTTTGTTTCTCCTGCCACCCCCAGATCAGTACCTTAAATAGAGTGCACAGTAAATATTTGTTGAAATGTGCTGAACCATGCCTCCCTGCACCCCTACCCCATTATTTCAGGGTTTCTCTACAAGGCTCCCTGAGCATCCCAGAAGCCCAACTCACCTAGACCCCTGAGGGGTTTCAGCCAGCTTGTGGGAGCACTTTTGCTGTTTCTCTGCCCCTATCCTAGAACACGTGAGTCGTTCTGCCCCTACTTGGTTTCCTGCTATTAAGCCCTCTGCCCTGTCTTTTTTCTTTGTTTCCCTACTGCCTTCTAAAAGAATAAAGTGAGTATACTAGCTTTCCAGCATTTTCTTCTTTATCCTACCCTACCATTTCCACTCGCACCCAGGACCAAATCCAGGATGAGAAGACCAGAGTGGAAGGATTTGTGTGCTGGCTGGGCAGGGTGCTGGGGGGCCAAGCAGTGATTCATTGTATCTGAGCAGGACCAGCATGTCCTTGTTTGAGGCTTAGCCTTCTACTAGTTCTCTGGGCATTATAACTGAGCAACAAATGCCAATCAGTGGTGGGGTAAAAAGAACATAAACACAGACATTATCAGTGTCTGTAATTCTGTGGCTCACCTATTCCAGGAATATGTCTCAGGCGTTTAAAAACCGCCTCTAAGAAATGATTCAAAATAGAATACTTCATTTGGATAAATACTTTTTAACTTTGGTTTATTCCAATGAAGGAGCCACTGCAAAGTGTTGTTAAGTGCCATCAAGTCAGTTCTGACTCATAGCAAACCCCCAAAAGGGTTTCTGAGGAGCAACTGGTAGGTTTGAACTGCCAACCTTGTGGTTAGCAGTCCAGTGTTCATCCTCAAGTGCCACACCAGGCTCCACTGAAATGGAGTGTAATGTAATGTAATACAAGATAAATAAGTTTGTTTACTGTTTGGGGACCAGGCGGAATTTGTTAATCACAATAAGCTTATTTATCACAATAAGCGATATTTATTGATCTTAGAATGAAGGGCCCTCCCTACTGGCTTCTTGTTGTTGTTGCTAAGTACCGTCGAGTCGGTTCCGACCCATAGTGACCCTGTATAGGGTTTCTGAGGAGCAGCTGGTGAGCTTGAACCACCAACCTTGCAGTTCAAACGGCTTTGCAGTCTGGCGCATTAACCCACAGTGCCACATCAGGACTCCTATGGGCTTCTACTAGGGGAAAAATCATTAAACCAAACCAGTTTCCATCAAGCCAGTTCCAAATCATGGCAACCCTGTATGTGTCAAAAGTAGAACTACGCTCCACAGAGTTTTCAATGACTGATTTTTTTTTTTTTTCTCCCCAAGTAGATTGCCAGACTTTTCTCCCTAGGTACTTCTGGATGGACGTTTTTGTTAGCATGTGAACAAGTTAGCTGTGCACATTACCCAGGGACTCCTGCTAGGGAAAGTATTTCACAAATCAGAGAAGGATGTTCTTACACAGTTAAAGCACTTTTCCACCCTGATGAGAAGGCATAACTACATTTACTTTTCATGATATAATTTTCAATATGCCCGTCAACCCTTCCTCTCCCCAGTGATTGAATCTAGTCCTCTGTAGATAATGGTCTCATCTCTGTGCTGTGGGCTAGATACGTGTGTTTTACTTTGATGGGTAGCTCTTGTTATCTTTTCTAAACACCCGGAGTCCAGTCTTTAAAGGCTTAAGGATTAGAGTAGTCAGGAGGCAGTGATCAATGATAAATCAGTGAATGCCCTCCACAGGCAGACAATAAGTGATAACAACTCGTCAGCCC